GTCAAATAAATAAATAAAATCTTTAAAAAAAAAAAAAAAAGCTCAGGTGTTAAAGAATTCAGCTCCTAGTTCCCCCATCTACTTGCAGGTGTGACTCTGGTGCAATTTCTTCATATGTAGAACATGGAAAATAATGCTGAGGTCACAGGAATTTATAGAAATTAAATAAGCCAATATACATATAAAACTTCAAAAAGGGGCTAGTACAGGTTAAGTGTACTCAAGGACGAGTAACAACTGCTCCTGCAATTATTATTAGTTGCCCCATAACACAGTTTGGGCAACACTAAAGTAAAAAATCCAAAGACAGTAAGAATCTTGGGCGAGATATGTAATTTCTCTTGTCCTTACTTTTTTTTTTTTTACATCTATAAAGTTAAGTGGTTGGAGTACAGCAGCACCTTTCAAACTTTTGACCATGACACAAAATAATAAATTCATTTGAGATCATGAGCTACTATATACTAATATATAATTACATGATTAAGTTTTTATATATATTCATATAACTAAATATTTTTTTTCTCAAAATAACAGTGTCCTTACTATCACTAAAGCATTCTGAATTTTCTAGTCTGTTCTCCTTTTTTTTTTAAGCTGGTTGCAATACACAAAACTAATTTTCAAAACATAACACTGGGGACTACAATATCTCTGAGGAGCCTTCCAATACAAGGTACTCATTTTCAAATTAGCATTCAAAGGCTGTGGATATCTGTCAGTTTCACCTAAACTCCCTCAAACCCTATCACAGCCTTCAGTAAATTTTAAGGACACTAGTATTCTAATGGGCATTTCAGTGCTTACAATAATAATAACTGAACCAAGTACACTTTTCAAATTCTAATAAACTTTGCATGAGTTTGTTTTTCTAAATTGTAGTCCCTTTTGTGTCCAGAGTGACTCAGAAAACATCTTTGATCTTCAAACAACTGTAGGGTTTTGTTTTGTTTTGTTTTTTAAATAAAGGGCTTACTTTCCAGTGACATTTGAGTACTTACATGTCAATGAAAGAGTAAGATTTAGAAAATTATTTGGAACTTTTTAAGAGACAATTTGCAATCTCCAGAAAAATCTGACATTCAACAAATGCTGCCTCATTGCTTTGTTCTTTGCTTGCGAATCACATTTAAAAATCAACATTTATTTAATTGTTCTGGGACTCCTTTCAAATCCAATCCATATTTTTAATCTCGTTTGGTAGGGATAACTACATAATATGAAAAAATCCTAAAATAAAGAGGAAAAAGATCTGTGACTTCACAAATTCCATTCCAAGCCCCATTCCTTACTCTCTGACCTTGGGTTAGGTACTTCAGCTCTCTACCTCAGTTTCTTCATTTATAAGATGACTACCTACTTCATGGGATTGTTTCCTGAATTACTGTCTAATCACTCTGAATGGTGCCTAGCAGGGAAGCATCCAATAAACCATGACCAAGATTATTCTCTTGTGTTACGTGAAATTAAGGTAAAGACTAAAAGTTTCCCACCCAGTTCTAAAAGTTTACCTAAAAGCTACTAGCAGAGTGAGGGTTGAACTTCAGCCCCTACTTTATGCTCTAAAATGCAAACCAAGGTTAGCTGACAAAAATGAAGAACAAGGGAGGAAACAAAGATGACACATAAGACAGAGATTTTTAAGTATCCATTCAGGTGGTTTTTGATAATGGCAGAAAACCAGTTCAATTTCACCAGCAGGAATGATTAATTCATTCATTAATTAGTGCCCCCTCACAAATCCCAACAAGTATCAGAGACAGAATCACTGTTTTATAGTATAATAGCTCTGACAAATTACAAGAACAAGTAGAATCTATCTTTGAATCTATCTCATGAATAGAAATACTCAAAAAACACCAGTTTTATTCTACCACAGATTAAATATGCACAAGGCCTGGGAAGGTGGTCTGTGCGGAGTCCTGATCTACTGACTGAAATTATGCATGGTAAAAATATTCAAACACAGCATCTAATTTTGAAGGATAACAACTTGCTATTAGTGATAAATTATATTTTCATTATAAATGTCATGGCATCAACATGAGGACATATCCTGAACCCCTAGCTAGGAAAATTTAAAACTTCTTGGTGGCAATTCAATAATAATCATCATTCATGTATGATCTCACAATGGAAATGGAAAATGCTATCACTAAAAATCTAATTTTGTCTTTTCCCTAAAATTAAGGCTAAAAGATGGGTTGATCACCCTGGCCTGCTCCCTCCTCTGTAACATTATTTAAAAAGTCCATTTTAAGGGCAGGACAGAATTTCCACCTAGTACTATGTTCATTCACCCATCAATTTCCCAGATAAAGTAAATGTACACAGTGAACCCCAACCAAGGAAAATTCTCTAATTAAGAGAAAAAAATCTACATCCTTCTAATAAGTCTTTCCCCTACAACAGCTTTCATTTATTGCTCATTTTAATATAGAACAGCTGTTAAAATATATTTTAAGTTTTAAAACTTTATTTTGAATATTTCTTCCAAGATCCATTTTACTAAAGATCTGTGTGTATGTTTTTTTAAATATACTTCTGAGGTTATTAGCATTGCAGAATGGCCTTCAAAATGCAAAGACTACTTAGGTTTTATAATCAGACTGTTTTTTAATCTCTTCCATGTCAAAACCGGGGTACCCTGAAAAGCCAAAAAATATATATATAATATACACCAAAAGTCATGGGCTTCAAGGGAATGAGTTACAAAGAGAGTCTTGCCTTATCATCTCTTCCTCTTGCTCTATAATCCTTGTCTCTACTTGTAGAGGGTTTTTCACTCTTGGATATAGGATGTGCTCGGCCTACAGGTCCCCGGCCTCCTATTCCTGGCATTTCTTTCCTCAGAGGTCTTACTTCTCGATTGGGACGCCTTATCTGAGGTGGAGCTCTGACAAGAAAAAATTAAAATGAAAATTAATCAAAGGCAAAAATATTTCAAACTACTTTAGTCAATAAAACTATTAAATCAAGAAGCCCCAAATCTCAGTTGGTCCCCTTTTGCCAATTCATGGCTGTAACTATTAGGTCAGTTTCTAAAAGTATTTTTCTTGAGAAAAAAAAAAGTGCTTTTCTGTAAAACATACCAGTTGACACAATTTTTAAACACAAATAAATATGTATAACTGCAACTACTTTGTCAAAAATAACTAATCACCAATAGAGGGCAATACAGACTATTTCCATCTAATAATAGTGTAATGGAAAGCCAATTACTTTATTCATTACTATCTTAAGCCAAAACTAAGTAACTTAAAAAAAAAAAAAAACAAAGCATATGAAACTAATATAATATTAAGTGTCAATTACACTTCAATTTTTACAAAAGCATTAAAAGCTGAAAGGAGGGGATTCAAAATATGTCTATCTGCATAGTTTATTAATTTATTGACAATCAAAATGATTTCCTCTGCTTCCGTAATTACTGGAAAATCCAACATTTCAGTCATCAAATTAGTAGGCTAAACAATGAAATCTTTTTATATACAAATTAATTTATGTGTGAAAATGTTATTCATGTTCTGACAGTGTCAAAAGTAATCACAGGAACATTCAAATTACACAGGCTCCCACATGTGAATTAAGAACTTCGATAACTATGTATGGTGAAGGATGTTAGCTAAACAAGTATATAACTTGGAATCCAGCAAAACAGGAAAATAAGATGAAAAGCCAGGAAGGATGCAAACTCGAGGCAACAAAGGTGAAAGACTGTTGACATATTGCAGGTCTAACAGAGCATCATCAGACTGTTGGAATTAGACCACTACATGAAACTGCTAAGGATAAGTGAAGCTGGTGAAAACTGGATGTCTGTCCATTAGGTTATAACATGCTGACATCGGAATCCTTGGAGTTCAGTCCAGCTAAACAAGTATTTGACCACCTATTAGGAGGTATATGGCCACTAGTTTGCTAGGCCCTGGGAGGAGACAAAGATGAATAAGCAATCTTGTGAAAGAAATCACAGAAAAGGAAATCACAGAAAATAGCGTATAGTACAATGGCTACAAGGCATTTTCAAATATAAAGATATTATTGTGGTATTAGTTCTAGTGCATGATTAGACTCTTAAGTATCTGCCAATAAAATAAACATGTGATGAGACTGATTAAAAAAAAACAAAACTAAAAATGTTACATGCTCTATTCCTACTATTTCATTGCAACCACTATTTTTTGACTGAACTTTTGTTCTATTTTGATGAAGGAGTGGAAAGTAGTAGAGCAGAACTTTACTTTTATTTTTATACATTTGTGCATGCATAAATGTCTTTCCTGAATCAGACCCACGGGTAAGGCCAAAGACAATAAAATGAGAGCAACAATCTCCTCCACAGAGAAAATGCGTCAAGTTTGCCCTTCTGTTAGCAGCTGCACCGGCTATTCAAATAGTCCGTCATTGTTTGTGGGTCTGCTTTTTAGACGCACAGCCGGCCTGAAGCTTTTTGCTCCCCAACAGCAAGCCCGTCCCTTCCAGCTGCATGCCAGGCTGCTCATCAGCTGCTGGGTTTGCCCCGCTAGGCCTCACTGCTTAGGGCTGAATGGTAGAGAATCCTGAAACACTTCTGCCTTCTCAGCTTGTGCTTTCCCCACTTCGGCTTGCTATTTAACAGTCGCTTTGGAGTCCTGTGTAGTCCATTTTGCACACGCATTCGGCTCAGGAAAGCTGTGCTGGGAGAAGAATTATTTCAAAGCTCTTACACAGGCTGCATTCCAAGTGCTTGCGGCTGCTGACCTTGTCCTGCCACTCAATATTCTGATAGGCTCATAAATGGTCTGAATGAAACCACTCGGGAAGCCAGATGTGCCTGGTGGCAAGTCACATATCTCCCAGAAAGTGTGCCTGTGTCTGTGAGTCTTCAGTTCCATCTCACTGCAGGTTGACATTACATTTGTAACAGACTCTGTCAGCTTCCCAAAGGACATCCTTGATTCTGCTCTGTACTTCGTCCATTAGCGCGTCACTGCACAATGTCATGCTTCAATTTAAGGACTCAGTGACAGCTTCCAAGCTGGGTAAAAAATAAGTCTCAAGGCTTCTTTTACTGGCCTCTTTTGAAAGAGAGACGTCAGTAGGTTTACAAAGCATCATCAACCTCTGCCCTGATCGTCAAAGAGAAGACGACACTGTACTAGCTCCCAGTATTCCAAATGTAGAGAACTGCTGGTAGATGTGCAGACCAAAGACTGGGTGGTCTACACTATGCTCAGTTCTCCTCTATTGCCCTCTAGGAATGGGAAGAAATAGGCCTTTTTCTATCATATGCAAATAAGCCTAATCTCCTCCAAAATCCAGGATTTCTTCTTTCTAAGCCATATTAACTATCAATATTATATGTAAATGTTCTTATCAGCACTGCTTGTAATAGCAAACACCTGAAAACAACCCAATGTCCAGTATCAGAACAGATACATAAATTATTATATATTCACATAATGGATACAATATACATGTGAACATGAATTATAACTACATGCAACAACAACAGATGAATCTCAGGACCCTTATGTTGAGGGAGAAAGTAAGTTCAAAGGACACATACAGTAGGCAACATAGGATACCGTTTGGGGACACAAATATATGTACTGAAAGTAAAGAGAAGCAAGGGAACAATAAATCCCAAGTTCAGGACAGTGTCTTACTCTGAAAGGGGAGGAGGACAGAATGCAGAGGAACTCATAGGGGGTATTCAAAGGTAATAGTACAGTTCTTTATCTTAAACTCCTTGGTGGGTACATAGAAGCTACTGTAGGGCGCCTGGGTGGCTCAGTTGGTTAAGCGACTGCCTTCGGCTCAGGTCATGATCCCGGAGTCCCTGGATCGAGCCCCGCATCGGGCTCCCTGCTCGGCAGGGAGTCTGCTTCTCCCTCTGACCCTCCCCCCTCTCATGTGCTCTCTCTCTCTCATTCTCTCTGTCTCAAATAAATAAATAAAATCTTTTAAAAAAAAAGCTACTGTATTGTGACTCCTTATACCTTACATAAATTTTAATTATTCACATTATCTACTCAGTAGTTAATAAAACTTTAAATGTGATTGTACTACAACAACACTAAGTAAAAGATCTGAGCACCTAAAAAGTGAAATTATAGAGTTGCTACAAAGTTTCTGGCATGTTCCAGAAATACACATGTCCTAGTGACATGGGCTCAGAGTTCATATCCTTAGTTGACCTACTAGATTACTGCCTGGCAAATCTCCATAAAACATCAGGCAACAGAGAGAAAACTGTCTTATGTCTGTATTATAGCACCACTCTTCTGTGGTTCCAGAAGTCAAAGGGAAATAGACCTCTTTCAAAGAGGCCCTTCATTCCACACCATATTAAGAAACAGGCTCTAAGATACTAACACAATTTTCTCCAATTGTTATACAGGTTCCTTCTTAAGATTCCTAACTATTGAGCTCTATTTCTTCTAGCATTCTGCTCAATGATTATTCTAATTTTTTTGTTCATACATTGTTAGAATGCTGGTATAAGAATAAGTAATTTAGAACAAGTCCTAGATATGCCCAAGAACATAAGCCAGATTGCTTAAAGTTAACTTCTGGAAAAGAAAGCAAAATAATTTTGCTATTATATTAATCTATAACCTATAACTCCAGAAATAAACAATGAAACATCTCTTTCCCTATCTAATAAAAAGATAAGAAACATAAGTTTCAATTAGTTCATAATGATACTTTGCTATAAGAACTTGGAGTCAATATATGAGACTTCTGAGTCCAAGAGAAATTGTTTGTTAAGAAATCAGGAGGCAAAAAAAAAAAAAAAAAAGAAATCAGGAGGCAAAAAACAAAGCTTAAACAGAAATGAGAGGACCTATGATTTGAAATCAAACATTAAAGATTAAGAATTTTAATGTCCACTCTCATCAAATACATGACTGCTATTTTTTCAAATCAGTAAAGTTATTATTTACCTAATAAGTATAGGAACTGTGCGGGATGTTATATTGACATAAAAACACTGCAAATCACTATTCCTAACTTCACAGAAAAACAGCATGGTGATCTGAAGTCAGCATTAGACTTAGAATCTGAAAACCTGGGTGGCTTTTTACTCCCAGGTCCACCAATTACTGATTATATAAGCCTATCACTTAACATCTATAAGCCTCACGTTCTCCCTCTGTCGGTGGAGATAATACTTCATAAAATTTGTAAATCTATTTTTCATTGATATAACATATGTTCAGTAAAATGTACATATATTACACAACTCAATAAATTTTAATACCATATAACAACCTGTAGATGAAGACACAGAACATTTCCCGCTATCCCAGAAAGCTTTTTCATGGTTCCTCTTAGCCAATGTCAGCCGGTAAGGTCAGCACTATTCTGACCTTATTATCATGGATTAGTATTGCCTATCTCAGTTTCAGAAAAATGGAATCCTACAGTACATACTTTGTACTTGGTTTCTTTCTTTCAACATTACCTGTGAAATTTATCCATGCTCCTGCAAGTAGCATGAGTTTATCTTTCTTCAATGTTGTGTAGTATTCTATTGTATAAATATAATTACAATTTATCTATTCTACTGTTCATGAGCACTTGAGCTGTTTTCCATTTGAGGGTATTATTAAAGCTTCTATGAATACGGGGATTATGTTCGTGGTAAACATAAGCATTCATTTCTTTGGAGTATGTACCCAGGAATAGAATTGCTGGATCACAGGGTGTATATATAACATTAGCTTTAGTAAATAGAGCCAAACAATTTTCCAAAGTGGTGATGCCATTCTACACTTGCATCCACAATGTATGAAAGTACCAGTTGCTCCATCCTAACCATTCTGGTGGGGTGTAATGGTATCTCATTGTAGCTTTACTTTGCCTTTCCTGAACGACTATGGATGTTGGGCACCTTTTCAACAATAC